TACGGGTCCCTCCCCCCCCCGCCGGCGCCCCGGCCCTTCGTCCTGCCCCGCAAGACGCGGCTGGTGGCTTGGGTCGTCAGCAACTGGAACGAGGAGCACGCCCGGGTGCGGTACTACCGCCAGCTGAAGGAGCACCTCGCCATCGACGTCTACGGGGCGCGGGGGCTGGCGCTGGCCGAGGGCGGCGTGGTGCAGACCATCTCGGCCTACAAGTTCTACCTGGCCTTCGAGAACTCCCAGCACACCGACTACATCACTGAGAAACTCTGGAGAAACGCCTTCGCCGCCAGCGCCGTCCCCGTCGTCCTCGGACCCCGCAGGGCCAACTACGAGCGCTTCATCCCCCCCGACTCCTTCATCCACGTCGACGACTTCCCCAGCCCCCAGCTGCTGGCCACCTACCTGAAATTCCTCGATAAAAACAAACCCAACTACAGGAGGTATTTTGCCTGGAGGAAGAAGTACGAGGTCCACGTCACCTCATTCTGGGACGAGCATTTCTGCAAGGTTTGCCAGGCCGTGAGGGCAGCCGGGAACCAAATGAAGACTGTACGAAATCTGGCCAGCTGGTTTGAAAGCTGATGTTCCTGGTGGGTGAGGCTTGCCTGGCCAGCCTGTGCCAGCATGGGACTGCGTCAAGGCGTCGGGAAGGATGGGTCTCGCAGAGATCGTTAGCCGAGGTAGTATGCAGAAGGCTGTCATCAGTGAGAGAAGCATAAAGGTACAGGTAAACAAGCTGTGAAAAGCCTACAAAAGGAAGATTTTTATTAAAGTGCAAAATTATGAAAGTACAATGAAACATCAGGCAAGATGATTCTTAGAGACCAAACTTAAATTTCCAGAAGTTGTACAGCTCTGAAACCTTTACAGTTGTGCACAGCTCTACATAAATAACTGATGCCAAGTTCTTCAGCTGTGCAGCTGAAAGCAATTTTGTCGTCTATGACAGCTTCCTGGACCATGCAACTTTCTTCTGCTGACAGGGGATGCATGATCAGCGCTGGCTTTCTGTACTCCGAAGACAAAAGTGAATATTTTTAACAGTGATTATTATGCATGGGAAAGCTATTTGCGGGCAAATTCTGAGCCGCAAGTGTTGAACGGAAGAATGTAATGATACAGTAGCACTTTTTAGCAATGTTTGAAATTGCAGCAGCCAACTAATAATGCTTTGAGCCAAATAATAATTCCGTTTAGGAAAAAGTGTATGGAGGGGACTGGATCCGAGTGGAACAAACAGCTCAGATGATGTAGAGTATTTCTTCCACTGCCTACTGAAACCGTAGGCACGTTTATCCTGTATGACAGCGGAGAAGAACTTCAGGTACAGGAAAAGACAGACTGTAGAAAATAAGTTGGAACATTTCCACCCTCCCTTTATTCAGGAATTAGAAAATGTTTACAGGAATCTGCATGTTTTTCTCTGCAAAATTACTGCCATATAGGAAAAAGCAGGGAAAGGCTCACAACTACAGGGTTTTTATTACTATATTGAATATATATGCAGAAAGGCTAACTTATTTCTCTAGTATCATTAGACAGTCCTGTTGTGTAGTGATTGTTTTGTTTTATGGCACGTGTTTTTAAAACTTCTGCTGAGTGACAGACTACTCAGAATGCCGCTCTGCTGTTTATAAAATAATAATTACCAAAAAAAAAAAACCCCAAAACTCAAGTCCCAAATCACTGCCTTTCAAAAAGAAAATTACTGTAGAGAATAAGATCTAGACTGTTTGTAAAATACAGATTGTGTGAGGAAAGAATATGAAAAGGGAAAGATTTACTATTTTTTTTTCTTTGGTTTTGAGAGTTTTTTCCGGCTCAGTTTTAAGAACCTATTTATTGATTAAAAGATAAAACTTCCTTCTCTCGGTGCCTACCAGGATCATTTACAGTAGTTATTGCCTTTCAGACTGCCATTTTGCTGGAGTCTTCCTAGTAGTCAGTGTGTGGTTACTTTTTGGTTACATGTAATCTTGCTTGGTGAAATGCAGAAAGAAACTTCAATTGCAATTGCACATCCTCAGGAAGCTGAGCCCTCCCTGCCCTTTGCAACTATAAGGTTTGCTGGCAAAAAATGATAACCCACAAGAGTCCTGCATAAATGATTAAGGGATTTGTCCAGCTCCTATTTAAGGAGCTGGATAATCCATGGAGTTGTCCAGAGACTTTACTCGGGATAAAATCATGGGCGCAGAGCAGGTGGGGAAAGAAGAAAGTCAGTTGCAAATAAAAGATGGGCATCAGAAGAAGTGAGTTCACTGGCATTTGAGAGTCATATTTAGGTTAGAAAAGGATTAGATTTGACTTGAGCAGTAAGGAATGCCAGGTAGGTGCTTTTAAGATTTATGAGCTGGCAGCCTACTGTAATTTATTTTAAATTAGATGTTCCCCATGATTAGGTAGGCATGGAACCAAGGATTATTGAAAAAAATCTAATAATAATGAAGTTCATTAATAATTTGCACAGATTTATCAGGTCAGATCTTGCTGGCTCCTACGTTTGTTCCTTTCTGCTTTTGTGCGAGGAAGGATGGCTGAAAGTACTTCATAAACCTTTCTGTTGTTAATGTCAGAGTTGCTGTAGAAATTTCATTGGGAAAGAAGAGAAGACAGTCAACGCAATGTGGAGTGTAGTAGGGATGGTCCCTAACGCTGCATTTTCACTTGAATGGGTCTTAATTGATTGTTTAAACCAAAAGCATGTTCTTCATGGCACACTGATCTGTGTCTCTACCAGTGGTTACTACTCCCATAAAATTAGTTTCGATAATTTTAAAAATCTAATTTAAGTGTAGCATTAAAAGTAATTGCTAAGTGTCAGAATGATAGAATCTGTCTGCCTGTCGTGGTTTAACCCCAGCCGGCAACTAAGCCCCACCCAGCCGCTTGCTCACTCCCTCCCGGTGGGATGGGGGAGAGAATTGGAAGGGTAAAAGGGAGAAAACTCGTGGGTTGTGAAAAAGACAGTTTAATAGGTAAAGCAAAAGCCGCGTGCACAAGCAAAGGAAAACAAGGAATTCATCCACTACTTCCCATCGGCAGGCAGGTGTTCAGCCATCTCCAGGACAGCAGGGCTCCGTCACGCGTAATGGTTACTTGGGAAGACAAAACACCATCACTCCAAACGTCCCTCCCTTCCTTCTTCTTCTGAGCATGACGTCATATGGTATGACCATATCCCTTTGGTCAGTCGGGGTCAGCTGTCCCAGCTGTGTCCCCTGCAGCTCCTTGTGCACCCCCAGCCTCCTCGCTGGTGGGGTGGGGTGAGAAGCAGAAAAGGCCTTGACTCTGTGTAAGCACTGCTCAGCAATAACGAAAACATCCCTGTGTCATTAACACTGTTTCCAGCACAAATCCATAACGTAGCCCCATACTAGCTACTATGAAGAAAATTAGCTTTATCCCAGCCAAAAACAGCACACTCCCTTTGAATTATCCTTTTTTTGGGTTCAGTTTTTATCACAGTTCATGTAAATGTATACAAAAACACGATCTTAAAAGCGGTGAACTAATATTTAAGATCGCACTACTTTTTATCAGTCTGCTGAAACTAGTGCATTTTTTTGAGTCCTGAATTTTTTAGCATTTTCTGAAAGTTTCGAGGCACACAGTTCTGTGTAATTGTTAGTAATGCCACAGGCAGAAGATCAGGCTAGAAGAACATGGAAATTTCCAAAGATAGCAACCGATACTTTTTTCTCAGCCTCTCTAAGAAAAGCAGTTGAAATCTTTGATGAACTGGAGTTTTGTAAAATTCAGAAAGGGGCTATGCAACAATTAAAGCATCACGTTTGAATAAGATGTTCACAGTTGTGCTGGATTTGTAAGTTATGCATTGAGTATATTCAAGAATTGTATAATGAAAACTGCAGTCTTGTAATAATTATTGCAGAGCTTTTGCTTTGGGAGAAAAGAAGCTTTTTCTAGTTTCATAGTTCTTGCGTTAGCATTGCACACTTTCCCCTTTAGATTTGGGAGGAAATTCAGCCCTGGTCTACAGCTGCTGAAGTCAGTAATACAGCATCTCTATAAATCTAGTTTGGTTTTTGGCTCACCCGCTCCACAGGCTAATAGTGTGCTGTTACAAGCTAAGGACTGGCTTTTGTAATTCACTTTGTAGACCCCAAGTTCAGTGGTGAATAGAAAGTTTGAGGAAATTGGATTGTAGGTCAGCTACCAGACTCCACAAGGTATTGCAGGTGATGTATATAATCCATCTGTAAAAATCAAGCAAATGTATTTTCTATTTTAAGTAGAAAAAAAAAATTTGAATACATTTTGATAAAGTGTTTTATTCTATGCCTTAAAATACTGGGGTGGAGGGAGAGAAGGGAAGATCATTATCTTCTGTTTTTTATAAGGAGAGGAAATAAATAATATTACTTTTTTATTACAGTGTAAATGGAATAGAGAATTATGCGATCCTTTAAGTTACATATTGTATCTCAGGGAATTTTATACTGTAAAGTCTCTTAATCTTCGTAGAATGAAGTTACTTTGTCTTTGTATTAATTATTTAGATTGACACTCAATAAAATCAAAGAAAGGAAGTAGCACAAAACGACCCTATTTTTTTATTTCGTCTTCTTTCTGCGTTATGAAAGCTGTAGCAAACTGCTTTTTAAAGGGACTGAATTTCTTTTCGTGTTTGTTTAGTCAGTAGAAGTGGCTGATTGTTCTCAAAGCAGTCAGACCGTCTGAGGTTAGGACCGAAACCTGGTTGTGCCAGGAGAAAAATATTTTCATAGGAGAGGCTGTGCTGAGTTATTTTCCGTATGAAAAGGAGCATTTATTGAAGTTGGATGTCTGCTGCAAAAATGTCATTTCAAACAAAACCAAAAAACAAGCTTTCTCTTGATCTACAGAGAATTTGAATGTGGTTGAATTCCCCCCCGCCTTAAATTTCAAAATGAAATTGAGATTGTGTTTATTTTGATATTCAGCGCGTAGTGCTACAGCTACCTTGTAGCTGCAGCTTTTTTCATGCTTGTTCATCGTTGTCTTCAACTGAGCAACAAAAGAGAAAGGGCCCAAAGCTCTTTTCCCTCAGCTTTTGTTAACACGGACTGCAACACAAGCCATTGCTTACCTCTCTCTTTACTCATCTGTACTGGCTTGGTGCGTAGTATTGGGAAATTTCAGCATTTCTGAAACTTCCAGCCCAGCCAGGAGGGGGTAAGTGTCCTCACTTTCCCCCCCTCAGGTGACTGATGTGTCACCATCACGTTTAACTTTTGTAAGTAGGGCTTGGACTGACTGCTTGTGTACTTGTGCCCAAGGTGGGAAATGTTTTTTTGCTGGTTTTCCAGACATGATTGAACTCTGGGTTGGGGAAACGGGTGGAAATATTTTTCTGCCAAACACTAGGTACCATTTGTTCAAGCTTGTTTGGTGACTTAAGAAGTGAGTTACGCCTGATAAAACTCACTTGCACAGTTCTCTATCCAACAGTCATATAAAATGGTATTTGTTTTAAGAGTGTAAGCAGTCCTTTGTAGGGAGCACAGAGTTGACTCAATCTAAAATCTGTTGACAAGAACACAATGACTTAACGTGGATTTAAGTGGTATTTAACTAAA